ATATATTTAGTCACCCAAACCTAGTTGGTGTATCCATATACCCAACACTATTTGCAAATAGATATTTCCAAGAATTCCATTATTGAATTTATATTCCTAGGTTGAGCACATGCTCAAACTAAATAGTTCATTCCACAATTCAGTGTCCCTCTTCATCAGCCTCTATATTTATCTGGCTTTGTCTGGTAGTCCCAGAGATTAAAGTGAAAAACAAAATAGATTCTGCAAGGTTAAAGTCTACTAATCCTTGATAAACTGTTATTCCATTTCTACACACTACAGACAGAAAACAAAACATATTCACAATTCTACTCTCTATTTTAGTGTAAATTAAAATGAAACTAAGTATAATATGGAACAAATTTAGCAAAAGGTGTTTCAATCTCTTTCTTTTTCTCTTTCTGTAAAATGAATATACTGCAGACCAGTATGGTTCCTGCAGGACAGACCTTGTATTTAAAGTCCCTCTTACCTCCTAAACCCAACAAGTTTACTTAGGCTTGCTAGACTGGTGTAATTTTACTTTTAAATTTCTACAGATTGGTAAAGAAATAAATTATAGTATCAAGGTATCCATTAATGCCAAAGAAGTAATTAAAAATAATAAAGCAACCAATCATACGTACTATAGTAAGTATGGTTGAGTTAATTTACTGATAACAGCTACTGTTATCACATTCTAAATCAGGGTTGTCAAACTCGCATCGTCACAGCTGCATCATGTGATGTATTGGGATTTTTTTCCCCCTTTTGTTAACTGGGCATGGGCATGGCCAGCATGTGACACATCCCACCTGCAGGCCATGAATTTGACAGTCTTGTCCTAAATCATGACATCTCCATCCCTAAATTTTGCACACGTATAAGTAATTTATATTTAAATATTAATTTGAAACAATGTGTAAGTTTTATTGCAAACCAAAGAATCAGAATCTTTGAACTCTTTTTAACCCCTATATGTGTCATGGCAGTCATGTTAGACAAGTGTTTTCTTTTTGTGAGAATCCTGACAACATTTATTTATTTATTTGTTTGTTTGGTTTGTCAATTGCTTACAAGATAATAGGTATAAGTAAAAACATAGTTATGAATACATGGATACATATAAGAAAAATAAAAGAAACAATAGGACAGGGACGGTAGGCACGTTGGTGCACTTATGCATGCCCCCTTCAGACCTCTTAGGAAAGGGGTGAGGTCAATAGTAGAAAGTCTAAGGTTAAAGTTTTTGGGATTTGAGGAAGAAACCAGAGTCAGGTAGAATATTCCAGACATTGACCACTCTGTTGCTGAAGTCGTATTTCCTGCAATCAAGTTTGGTGTGGTTAACCTTGAGTTTGTATCTATTGTGTGCTCTTGTGTTGTTATGGTTGAAGCTGAAGTATTCATTGACAGGTAGGACATTGCAATGTATGATTTTATATACTATACTTAGATCGGACCAAAGGCGGCGTAGTTCTAGATTTTCTAGGTCTAGAATTTCGAGTCTGGTGGCATAAGGTATTCTGCAACGAGTAGAGGAGTAGAGAACTCTTCTTGTGAAATATTTCTGAACTTTCTCAACTGTGTTAATGTCGGATACATAATTTGGGTTCCAGACTGATGACCTGTATTCGAGTATTGGTCTAGCAAATGTTTTGTATGCTCTAGTTATTAATGTAATATTACCAGAGAAAAAGCTACGTAAGATTAGGTTAACAACTCTTAATGCCTTTTTGGCTATGTAGTTACAGTGGGCTCTAGCACTTAGATCATTAGACATGCTGTTAAAAATTCAAATGCAACCCATTGACTCTCAAATGTTGGAGATCCCTCGGTTAGACTGAGACAGATGTGTCAAAAACACATGCTTTATGACTGAATTGAAATTTAGAACATAGGCTCTCCATTCTGAATCCAGTTCCATATCTACATCATCATCTGCTCAGGTTGTCTTAACTGCAGCTATATCTTAAGAGATCACATCAGGAAGCCAGAAACCCTGAGGTGCCAAGTGTAGGAATATATATCTCAAGGTCAATTTCTGGAAGTTAGCTGCCTAGTGTCATGGGGTTAAAGAAATAGCTGGTAAACAAATAAATCTGTCAAATAAATTGTATTTTGCAGAGGTCCTGAGAAACAGACATGTCCTCTATTTGTACTGAAAAGAATGACTTACAGATTTGCTCATATTAAAACTCTATCACATTTCAGGATGTTTGTGAAAGAAATAAGAACCCAGGAGCATCAGAGAAGAGAAAAATTTTAAGCATAAAAACACAGTGTCCCTTCTTTCAACCAAATGACTTCAACCGAGTCACAAGTTGAAAGAAACATTAACAAGAAATCTTAATTATAAATGTCTGTCATTGAGGAATGATATAATCAAGGAGGATTTATAAAAGAATTGGCAAATACTTTTAGTGTAGTGTAGTGTAGTAAGTTACAAGCAGAAGAAGCTAAACATGGATTATGCTTTGCTCTGGCACAGTGTGAAAACTGTAGCAGTACATATCATCAAAACACAAATATTGATGGAAAAAAGAGTTTTGCAAGGGTATATTTCAAGTAGATTGCTTGTACTATCAAATAACTCTATTTTAGGGAAAGAACATATTCAAGATCTCTGAATATTAAGTTCCATCTTAGAAATGTAAGTCATTACCTTCTAGTCTTAGTTTTGTTTCC